ATGAAGGAAGCGACTCATGGATTCACCAGAAGGGATGGTCACAGTGTCCACTATCTGCATTTGGGATGAATTATCAGAGGCTTCCATGTCTGTGCCAAACCCTGATTGAGAACAAAGAGTATGAACTGGGCAGAGGATGGAAGTTTGGCTGTGTGCATATCATGCTTCATGCCTGAAAGATGGAAATAATACGAGTGCCCATCCCAGTGGATTAAATGAGAGTGTCTTGGATAAGCATAAGATACTGCTGTTTGTGGAATATGACAATGATAGCACATGCCAGAGGCAGGATCCTTTCCGGGACTGTGGTGTGTTTCTAGTGCATTCAGATAATAGTGGACTGTTTTTAGTCTACAGGCAAAACTCATGCCGTTATCCTTCCGTGGCACCCCAGCTCCTTCCAAGGCCCTTCACGATCAGGCCTGTGGTCTTTCCTATCTTCATTTCAGCCTCCTCTTACACCTACAGCTTCCTGGCCCGTGCTCTAGATCCTGGTCATGGTCAGCTCACCCCAGATGGTTTCTCTGGGTTCTTCTGCTGGAATCTCTGTTGTGCCCTCCCTCCCTCCCTGACTATTCCTTTCATCCTTCAGAATTCCCCCTCGAAGTCCTCTCTAGATCTTCTGCTGGGTGCTCTTCTAGCATTGCTGGTTTGTTTCTCCACAAGGCTCTGATCATCCTTAACAAGTGTTTGCTGAATTAACGAATCAAAAGGAACAGTTTTAAAAGAGATTGCTGCTTGGCCCAAAAATCCCAGCAGGTACCTCTCATCAGGGTAGGAGTCATGATAAAATAACCATGGATTACAGAGGAGGAAATGGAGGCTAAGGTAACCTCACTGCCTAACATTCAAATCCCTGCACATCTGTGTGCCCAACATGCCTGGCTTCTCACGGCATCTGTTGGGTGTGCAGGCTAGAACAAGGATGGCAGCTCACCACACCGGTGAAAGCATGGTTCTGAGATCCTGCACAAAGGGCTTGACCTCCGAGTCCTTCATTCTTCACAGACTAGCAAAGAGTTAACGGAACAGGTGTGTGCCAAGTGCTCGGTGGGGTCTAATGCATAACACACATCCAGCAAGCATTTATTCTCATCTGTTTCTAGATGAGACATCCAGGCCCAGAATAGGTTCTTGAGTTGTGACCAGCCAGAGAAGAGCTGGGTGTACACTCCAGAACCCATCCTATAGGAAAACAGTCCTGCCTCACTTAAGGATTCAGTATCCTTGTGAGAATATAAGCCCGAGAAGATACTCAGCTTAGCTCCAGTAAGCATGCTGGTTGGGTCACTGTGGTAGACAATCTGATTGTAAGAGGCAGGGAGGGCCCTTAGGTGTTACCCAGGGAAGTCTGATTTTCCCTGAGGTTCCAGTCTTACCCATGTCAGTTATTAGGTCATCCTGAATGTAGGGATGGTCGGAAGGCAGGAAGAGGGGTTCCTGCAGGGCAGTAGTGTGCAGAGATCAGCTAATCTCTCTCCATACCTCAGTATTTTTATTTAACCATTATTCCCCCCTGAGGCCAACAGGATTGCTGGTATAACATCTCATATTTTGCTTCCCCAGAGCCTAGTCCATTGCCTAGAATGCAGGAAATGGTTGCCGAAGGAAGCAATGAATTACATTTCAGCATTCACCAGGCGCTGTCTGTAATTGCTAAGGGTGGATAGTTAGCCTGTCATGGGGTGTCCCAGTTGCCTGTGACTTGGAGGTCACAGGTGAGGACACTGAGGCTGGGGGCTGAAAAATGACTTCTTCAAGGCCATCCAGTGGCTGTTCCAAGTACATCAAAATGGCTATGCACTGGGAAGAACTTTGATTGGAGTCATTAGCATTGGGGGGTAACCGTCAGTTAGAAATGACCGGCTCAAACTATTGGTTGTGAAAAAGAAACCAGTTAGAGCTTTCCTATTGAATTGCCTGATGGAGCTAGCAAGAGCAACTCCTCAGTAGAACAAAACGTGGTCCCCATGGGATAGGGCCCCGAATTATGCCCCAACTTCTCTCAGGCTAGTTCTAGCACAGGGAAAACTGCCAGTCACCTTTGCATCTGGAAACTTGAGTACCTCGATCTTCAACCGAAGGAACCTCTGAGGTCACAATACCCTCATTGCTCTTGGTTCCACGGCGTGCTTTCTTTAAGGAAACTCACTTGCTCTCTTGGCAGGGGCAGAGTTCCAGCACTTGCTAAAGCTATACTAAAAGCTTATTTTTGAGCCTTTTTTAATGGATTGTGGGTCTTGGACAGCAAACAGCTAGAAGCATCCTGAGCTGCTGCTTGCTGGATCCAGTCACCAGGTGAAGGCCAGGGAAGGATGGAGTTTGGCTCACCCATTACAGACACCCCACCGGCAGAGGACACAAGGCAGGAGAATGCCAAAAGTGGCTGTTCTCCCCGGTGGGGTCTAGTTACCAGAGGGCCCCCAGTAAACACTCTACTGGGGCAATAACTAAGCACATTTACTAAGCCTCTGGAGGAATGGTGGTCACGTGGCCATCGAGGGCGGCGCCCTCAGCTTTAAAATGAACTCCAAATCACAGAAGGCTTTCTGGAAGAGGCGGAAATTCTTTGGCGGTCCAGTATGGCTTTCTCTCAACAACAAGGATGCGCTTAACGCTCTAGGGACCAAGTAATGCCTGAGGTGAGCTTCTCGCTGTGAAGCAAGCCCAGGAAGCAGCCGGGCGGGAAGGGAGAAGAGCCTCAGGGGACTGGAGTTGCGGGATCAGGCCTGGCTCGGGTTCCCTGACCTGCCCTTCCACTGTCTTTGAGGAATGGACGCGCTACAGCCCTACTGGATCGGTGCTGCGGGGCCCCGGTGCCGAGTGCACGCTCGGAGGTTCCCATCATCCCAATGTAGAGTGTCCCTAGGCCGGGGGCTCGTGTCTTCCAGGCTTGGCCGGACCTGCGAGAGCGTCCGCCGTGCCCGTGCAGTCCCGCAGGGGTGCCGATGCCTGGGCCTCAGGGGTGAGGCGCGCTCGAGAGGGCCATCTGCCTGGGTGCGGAGAACTGCAGCGTCCGCTGTGCGAGGCGCTGCCCCTCCCGGCCCCTAGCCCCGCGCGCCCGCACCTCCCCAAGCCCGCCAGCGCCCGCAGCCCGGGCCGCTGTGCCAGGCCCAGACCCAGACGAGGCGCGGGAGGCGGTGCAGGGATTAGTGGACCCCTCCCCCAGAGCTCCCCTCGCCCCGCCCGGGGCAGCGAAGACCCCTGGGCCCGAGGGTGACGAAGGAGCTTCGTCCCCGCGGTGTCTGGACTAGGGACTCGGCCTCACTGGGCGGGGGCTGCAGAGCGGCAGGCCGAGGTGCGGGCGCGCTCGCAGGCTGCATCCCGGTCGGGGTGCGGGGCGTGGGCTCAGGGCTGGGGGGTCTCACGGCCTCATCCCTGGGCTTAGGCCACGGTGCTACCTACGGCCAGTGCCCGGGCGGGTAACCCGACCCAGCTCCCCGGAGCCGCTCACCCCGCACGGCCCGGCGGCTCGGGGAGGGAGAGGAGTGAGGGAAGGGGGAAGGGAAGGGGTGGTGGGTGAGGGGCCGTGGGGACCGCAGGGCCGAGTCCCGGGCCCGCCTGCGCTGCTCTAGGGCGGCTGCCCGAGGCTCCCGGGAGGAGCCAGCCCCCTGCCTCGCGGGCGTCGAGCCTGCGGCAGAAGGGAGCCCCAGGGCCGTGCAGCCTTGGCTCGGGGAGGCAGACCCGAGCTGCTGCCTCCATTTTGTTTCCTGTTCAGCTGGGTCTGTCGTGGTGGTGGTGGTGGTGGTGGTGTGGGTTTGGGGTGCGGCTGGGCAAGGGGGTTCACCTGCGGCCACGTCTGCCCGGGGCCTGAGGCCTCGAAGACCCTATCGCAGGCCCCCAGGTGAGCCCTACAGCGAGAGGGGGGTTGCCCTGGCCTCGGGTCGAAAGCAGCGGGCCGAGGGCAGGTGCCCAGTGGATGGGGAGCCCGGGCTGTAACCTAAGATGGAGGCCGGGGCTGACGCGGGCCTGAGCAGGGCCGGCAGGCCAGGCCCGGGCCAGGCCAGGTGTCTCGCGGGGTTGGGGTTCAGGAGGAGTAGGGTGCGGTGGCCGTGTGCAACCAGGGGCCGGCGCCGAGCCCCGAGGTAGGTGAAGGGCTGGCGATGCCACCCACGACGCCCGCGGGCCCCGACGCTCCCCGGAGGCGCGCGAGGCCCCCAGGGAGCCTGCCTCAGGCCCCGCCCGGGCGGCAGGGCCAGCCCGCAGGCCCCGGCCCTGAGCGGGCGCACCGGGGGAGGGGAGGGGGCGGCAGCCGCAGCGCCGCTGATTGGGCCGCCCGCTCGCTCGCCAGCCCGACTTCACCCGCCCTGAACCCCGAAGAGTGAGGCCCGGGAGCGCGCGCGCGCGGGGGGTGGGGGGGTGGGAGGGGGGGGGAGGAGGGCGCGCGCGCGCGCACCCGGGGCTCCCGTCGCACGCGGGCCGGCGCGAGGCGCTCCCCTGGAGCACGCGCCGCCGCCGCCGCCGCCGCGGGGGCGCGCGCGCGGTGGGGGTGTGAGGAGGAGGAGGAGGAGGAGGCGGCGGCGGCGGAATAGGCCGGGGCAGGTCGCGTTCGCTGCCTTCTTGCCTGAAGAGAGACGCGGGGGGGGGGAGGGGGGTGCGGCGAGCGGCTCCTCTCTCTGCCCTCCGCTCTGCTCGCGCCCCAGTGTAATGAGGGTCACCCCCTCCCCCCAGCTGGCCCGGGAGGGGGCGCGGGGCACGGTAACTAGTGCGCAGGGGTGGGCGACGGGCGGGAGCGGGAGGGAGGAGACAGCCGGGCCGGGAAGATGGTGGTGGCCGTGAGGTGAGGGAGTCGGTGGAGGCCCGGTGGCCGAGCAGGGCTGGTGGCCGGGGGCGCTGCAGCCGCGGCCCCCTCCCCGTCCTCCATCACCACCAGCCGGCCTCAGGCCTAGCCGGCCGGGCCGCGGCGGCGAACTTCCTCCCAGCCAGCGCGGCCCGTGCATCGCCGGCCGTCCCCGGCGCGCGCACCTCGGCCTCGGCTTCCCCTCAGGTAGCTGGCTGGGGGGGGCGCGGGGGCGGCCGCCCTCCCGCAGCAAACTTTGCTTGCCGCCGGGTGTTGAGGAGTGCCACCCGCGCTGCCGGGAGGCGCTGCCGCGGCTGCGGGAAGGAGCGCGGCCCGGGCAGGCGGCGTCGGCGTCGGCAGCAGCCATGTTTGTCAAGCTTGTAGCAGCTGCTGCTCCCCTGCCTCGGCTTCGCCGGCCGCCTCGGTTTCTCTCCCGGCCGTGTGCCGGTCTCTAGGCCCTTGCAGCTGCGAACCCAGTATGTTTGCAGTCAGGAGGGCGAGCTCCGGGGCACACCCGCCTCGGCCAACTTGCTTGAGGCCTGCGCACGGTAGCTGCAAAGGCTCTGGCGCCGGCTGGGCGCGGGGTGCAGCGCTATTGTGACCGCTGCGCCCAGCTTGCTGAGGAGGAGGAGGGGGATCCCTTTTTGTGCAGAAGCTGTCCCCCAAACCTGCAGCCCCTTTTCTTTCAAGAGATTTGGCTGCCAGACCTTGGGCGTGGGGAGGAGGAGGAGGAGGGCTCTCGTTTGAGATTTGGGGATTTTGACTGCCAAGGCGTTTTAATTTTAGTTCAGCCCCAGTGTCCACCAGCCTGCAGTGCAGGGAAGAGGAACGGGCTGTTTCCATGTGGCAGGATTTGCCCAGCTCCAGGAAGATGTAGTTCGCGGAGACTCACTGAGGCCATTTTCCTGTCGTCAGCCTGGAGAACTTTTTCCGTCCTTGGAAGTGCAGCCGAAAGGCCACTAGGCCTTCAGAAGTGGCTGCCATTTTGAAGAGCGGAGTCAGATGGTCTGTTAACTTAGATTAATTGCTGTGTCTTTTGGATTCCAGGTTGATGCGGGCCCAGTATGGATCAGACTTGTGAACTATCTAGAAGGGATTGTCTGCTGTCCTTTTCTAATCCAGTGAACTTAGATGCCCCTGAAGACAAGGACAGCCCTTTCGGTAATGGTCAATCCAATTTTTCTGAGCCACTTAAAGGGTGTACTATGCAGTTACCGACTGCCAGTGGAACATCCCAAAATGCTTATGGACAAGATTCTCCATCTTGTTACATTCCACTGCGGAGACTACAGGATTTGGCCTCCATGATCAATGTAGAGTATTTAAGTGGGTCTGCTGATGGATCAGAATCCTTTCAAGACCCTGCAAAAAGTGAATCAAGAGCTCAGTCGCCAGTTGTTTGCACTTCCTTGAGTCCTGGTGGTCCGGCAGCACTTGCTATGGAGCAGGATCCCTCTTGTCGTAACTCCCCTGAACTCCAGTTAAGAGTAACAGAGAAGACCGAGAATGGGTTTCTGCACTCTGAGAACTCTCCTGGTGTGGACGATGCAGATGTAGATTCTGAAGTGGACTCAGAACAGCCAGTCACAGAGGATGAGAGTATAGAGGAGAGCTTTGAGGAAACTCAGACCAATGCCACCTGCAATACTGAGCCTAAATCAGAAACCGGTGTAGAGATGGCCATGGGAAGTGAACGAGACAGCACACCAGAGAGTAGACCTGGTGCAGTCAAACGGCCATTCTTGCCATTAGCTCCTGAAACTGAAAACCAGAAAAATAAACAAAGAAGTGAAGTGGACGGAAGAAATGAAAAAACAGCCCTCCTCTCAGCCCCCAGTTCACTAGGAGATACAGACATTACCATAGAAGAGCAATTTAACTCAATAAATTTATCTTTTCAGGATGATCCAGACTCCAGTACCAGTACATTAGGAAACATGCTAGAATTACCTGGAACGTCATCATCATCTACTTCACAGGAATTGCCATTTGTAAGCAGCTTTTGGTACAACTTAAATATATACTTGAATGTATATATACAGGCCACTTAAAGGGAAGCTTAAACTAATTTGTTTTTGTTGCCAGTTCATAGCTGGAAGCTAACAATGAGCGTTTTTGGGGAAATTTTACCTTAATTTTTAAGCCTTACCTCTGTTGTGCGAGTTGGTTCTTTGTAGTTTATCCAGATTGCTCCACTGAGGTCTGGCTGAGTGTTAACAGCTCTTAGGGTGTCTGACCGGGTCAGGTTTGTACTCTGGAGATCCAGGTGGGTATACAGTTGATGAGCTCTAAAGACACAGACAAACAAAACAACAACAAAAAACCCAGAAAGCTTTGGTCTGCCGATGCCATCAGATCAGGGCAACCTTGAGTGACTTGGAGTCCTGTTGCTGCATAAAGCATGGGTTGTTTTCTCATGGGCCAGACTTGCTGCAAGTTGAAGTGCATTTTGGGCACAGATTTAACTTGGCTAAGATGAGAAGCTTTCTTGGCCAGCACTCAAAATTTAAATTAGGTTAATTTTTTCTGAACTACTTGTAATGTTACAGCCTTTGATAACTGCCACCACCAAGTTGGGCTTGATAAGCTTTTCTAGTTTTAAAATTTGAAGTGTATTTATAGATCAGTCCTGTGTGCAAGCATGTACATGCATATAGAAATGGAGAGGAATACATGAGTCTCTTAGTGTCATGTATTGCTGGAGGGTGATGGGAGATAAAGTTATCTTTTAGAGCTTAGAATTTCCTGACTAGTTTATGACCAGCTGACCTCTCTTAGCCCCAGTTTCAGCACTTCTGAAATGAAGAGTACTTGCTTTCTGAAAGATCACTTTTAGCTTTACATATTTGATGCTGGTTTTGTTTCTGCTCTAACCCTGTATTGTCATGGTCACTGATAATGTCACCAACGAGTAGTCAACAGATGCCTGAAAATACAACAGATTTCATAAGAATTTTTCTGTAGTGTGTAGATGATTGTTTTCAGGGCATTAAAAGTTGATTTAACCCTTCCTCTGTGGATCTCTAAAGTTGCAGAGAGAGAGAGAGAGAGAGAGAGAGAGAGAGAGAGAGAGAGAGAGAGAGAGGTGTGTGTGTGTGTGTCAGTCACCTTTGTTTCTGTTGATTGATATCAGCTGTGGTTAATACTCTGGTTTCTTAGCTTAAAAATGGCTGTGGTGGATGTCTTGAATTTCTGTTGTCCTGGATGTATATTAGAGTATATAGTTTATTTTGAAAACCTACTGGCAGCTCAAACAGCTTTTCTTGGGTTCATGTTGATATTTATTATACGTGTGTATAGTTTTGTCTTTATTTTCACAAATGCGTTAATTAGATTTGAGTGTAGAGATAGATTGAGTAGAGGCATAGAAATGTAAACCTGTAGTTCTCATCAACTATCTGGAGTCTAGTGCTGTTAAAACTGCAACAGAGCTGGCATAGTGGCTCACATCTACAATCTTAACACTCTGGAGGATGAGTTCTAAGTCAACCTGCTCTAAAGTGTGAGGCTTTGTCTCAAAAAACCACTCCCTTCCCCCCCCATTTAACCTTTTGAGAATATTATGCATCTAACGTGGTAGTTGACAAACTTGTATAGACGTAGAAATTTTTTTTACTTTTTCTTAGTAGAAACCTGTATACATTGTACATACTAGGTGACATATTGAAAAAAGATTAATCTCAACAGTTTGAACAGGCAGTGACTTATTACTTTGGTCTATACTGTCTCACTGGGTGGGTCTTCATAGCCTCGTGGTAAAAAGAGATGTCATAAAAGAGAAAGTAAGCCAGATGTGTGGCTCATGCCTATTTCTTAGCACTCGAGAAACAGAGGCAGGAGGAATGCCTTGAGTTTGAAGCCAGCCTGAGCTACAGTATCCAAAACAAAAAAAGATGTGGGTCTTTATGATACATGAACATTTTAGTCAGGATTGAGCACAGCTAGCTTTTCTTAGTGATTTACAAGTCTCCTAATTTTCTCTTAACAGATCTGTTTGTATTTTAAACTTTTTTTTATTAATATTCATTATTTGGCATGTAGTTTTGACACCATTCTCATACACGTGGCGCGGCACACCTGTGGTCATAGGACAGCTTGTGGAGTTGGCTCTGGCCTTCCGCTCTGTGGGTCCTGGGGATTGAGCTCAGGTCATCAGGCCTGGTGGCCAGTTCCTGTATCTGCTGTGTCACCTTACCTGTGCATGTAGTTTCCAGACAATGTCATGTCACTTAGACTGCTCTTGAACTCTATGTATAGCAAACAATGACCTTGAACTTCTGCTCCTCCTGCTTCCACTTCTCAAAAGGTGGAGTTCCAGATGCTTTACCACACTTGACTTTTCTTTTTTCCTTTTTTTTTTTTTCTGTGTAGCCCTGGCTTCCTGGAGCCAGATTGGCCTGGAACTCACAGAGATCCGCCTGCCTCTGCCTCCCAGGTGCTGGGGTTAAAGGCGTGTGTCACCACCACCTCTGCTCCTGTTTTTTCTTTCCGAGCAGCCTAGGCTAGCCTCAAACTCAAACTTCCCCTGTCGCCATTATAGTCACGTGCCACAACGACTGCTCATCTACTGCAGTGACTTAGCTACAACTTCACTGTGTGAAAACTGTCTCTAGATGACTTTGGAACTTTAAGAAAATCTGATTGTAAACTGATCTTTTCACCTTATATCATAGTCGTATATTAAAATGTAGTATTAAACTGGATACCATGACATATGTCAGTAATCCCAGCACTTGGGAGGCTGAAGGCAGGATTTGATTTTGAAGCCAGTCTGGGTTACAGAATGAGATTTATATGCTGTGTGTTGTTGCACACACTTGATCCTGGCGATCAACGGCACAGATTGGTGGGTCTCTGAGTTCCAGGCTAGTCTGGTCTGCATAGAGAGTTCAGGGTCAGTCAGGGCTATACAATAAAATGTTTAAAAAAGGTTTGTGTGCTAGATTGACAACTCAGCATTTAAGTGTGCCCACTCCTCATCTAGAGGACCCAGGTTTGATTCCCAGCATCTGTATCAGGCAGCTTACAATTAATTGCCTGTTAACTCCAGATCCAAGGAGGTCTGATGTCTCTGGTCTCCATGGTCTTACACACCTACATAATTAAAAAGTTCAATCTTGAGAGATGGCTCAGTGGTTAAAGAGCATTAGCTGCTCTTTCAGAGGATTTAGGTTTGGTTCTTAGCACCCACATAGTGACCCTCTGTAACTTCAGTCCCAGGAGATCTGACTCCCTCTTTTCCTGAGGCACTGCATGCATACGATGGACAGATACATATGCAGACAAAATGCCTGTACACAAAATAGAATGAAGAAAAGTAAATAAACATAAAAATCTTAAAAAAAAATTAATAAAAAACAAAGTGGAATGACTCATACCTGTAAATCCCAGCACTCTGAAGGATCAAGTATGGTGAGATCTAGGTCAGATTGGGTTACATAGTACATTCAAAAGCAGCCTGGGATACATAGCAAGAATGTCTGTCTGTCTGTCCTCTCTCTCTCTCTCTCTCTCTCTCTCTCTCTCTCTCTTTCTCTCTCTCTCTCTCTCTCTCTCTCATACACACACACACACACACACACACACACACACACCCCAAAAATAAAAAACATAACACCAAGTCCCAAGCAAATAACAGCAACTGGAGTTATAGTTCAGTAGCTGTGTATCCCATACATGGGGCCCTAGGTTCCACATAAAAACAAAACTAGGGAGTATTTGTGATTTGAACTTTCCTCTTTTATTACCAAGCATGCTTAAGGAGGTTAGAGGATAATTTGTGAGAGTCAGATCTCATTACTAAGTGGGTCCTGGAGATTGAACTCGGGTTATTTACTTGATAGCCCCATTGTGTTCCTAAAACCATTTAATTTAGTTATTTGTGGATGTGCATGCGTATGCTCACATGTGGGTATGCCACAGTGCTCACATGCAGGTCAGAGGATAACTTGCTGGATTTTGTTATCTCCTTGCACTTTGTTAACGCAGGGTTTCTTGTTTGTTCTCTGTACTCCAGGCTCTCTGGCCCATGAGTTTCTAGGCAGTTCTTCTGTCTCTGCCTCCTATTTTGCCTTAGGAGTGCTGGGATTACAAGTATATACTACTACATCTTCTTGGCTCCTTCATTGTGGTTGTTTTTAACTTATATTTTTGCTGATAGGTTTATGCGTGCTTTTTTAAAAAATGATATATGTGTATGGGTGTTTTACCTTCATGAATATCTATATACCACTTGTGTACACTGTCCTTGGAGGCTAGAAGTGGGTATCTGACCTTTTGCAACTTAGGTTACCGAGGGTTGTGATATGGATGCTGGGAATTGAATCCAAGTTCTATGGAAGAACAACCAGTACTCTCAAACTCTGAGCCATCTGTCCAGTCCCATGCTTATTTGCTATTTTTTTAAGGTTTATTTATTTATCTTATGTATATGAATGCTCTATTGACTTTATGCCCGGGGAGTGGGGAGGTGGGGGGGCATCAGATCCTAATACAGATGGTTGTGAGCCACCATGTGGTTCCTGGGGATTGAATTCAGGTCCTCTGGAAGAGCAGCCAGTGCTCTTGACCACTGAGTCATCTCTCAAGCCCCTGCTATTTGTATTTTGTCTTTGCTAAATATATTAATATATTTTGTTTGTTTTCAAACTAAACTATCTAGTGGTAGCTGCACTGGCGGTGACGATAATGATACCCGTTTTACTAGTACAACCCAGGTGTCTTGTACTCCTGAACCCTCCTGCCTTGCCCACCACCTGTTGAGACATTCATCTTCAGAGATTTCGTTTGGGGGGGTGTCTAATGTTGGGAATTGTGTTTAGGTTTCCATACATGGTAGGCTGGTGCTTTGCATAAGCTCCTTTTTTACATTTTATTTTGAGACAGGGTTCTTGCTAAATTGCCTGGCTTGGCCTTGAATTCACTGTCCTCCCGTCTCTGCCTCCTGAGTATCAGGAGTAGTTTATACTATAAGACTCAGTCAGCTGACCTC